GTAACAAAATATCCACTGCAGAGGAAATAAATAATTTACCTTCCTTCACCTACAGCTGTAATAAATAACCCAGTACAGATTTCTAGTTGAACAAACTCGTACAAAGGACTTGCCTTGCCTTGAATATTAGGTTCTGTAATGCTCCCATAATAGATGAGATACTTAGAGACCTGTCGTTAAATATGACTTCTTCCAACCCTCAGCGGTTTACGTTCACAGCTTGCCAGCAAACCTACCCTTGCTGCTTTCAGCTGCTGCAAAGGTGCTTAGGAACAGAGGGTGTCCCTGAAGCAGGCAGCTCCTAAACCACAGACAGCTTCATCGATCATGACCAGCATCACCACCTAGAAGGAGAGGAGAAGGCAGTGCTCTTCACGCAGCACAGGTGTAACACGCTTTGGCCAAACCGCTCCACCGAGCCGGTGAACCACCTTGCAAGCTTGCACAGTACACGGCACAGAAAACATCTCCTTCAGCCTGCAGCACCGCCTGCACAAAGCCATCGGTCTGGCCAGGCCTGCAGATGAGGTAGCAGAGGGACTACCCGGGCACCTGCTGATTCTCAGCTTCTCATCCATCAGCACACGATGCACCTCCCTCCTCCTCCTCTCCTGGCTTTCTCCAAGTCCAAAGAGCTGTCTCCCGTACCAGCGGGCTTTACAGCAGGGGGGTACCTACAACCCCCGCTATCGCTCCTGCCTGCAGTCCTGCTGCTGGGGAACACGCGGAACAACGCCAGGAACTCCTCATCAGGAAGGGACCCGAGGTGTGAGGACATGGCACAGACGTACTACGACAGAACGATGGAGGAGCCAGGAAAGCATGGAGCACTGAGGTTCGCTTTTTACAGCAAAGGACTAGAAGCAGCTGAGGTGTGTGGGATTTCATTAGACCAAACAGCCACATCAAAGAATGTACGGTCTTCACAAAAAGAGAAGTCAAACAACCCCACTGTCTGCTTTAGTGTTATTTTCCTTTTGCCTATAAGATAATCTCCATCCTCTCCAGACAGAGCTTGAAGCTGCTTGTCTTTTGCTGCTGAGGCAAATGGAAAGCGGGGAAATGACTGAAACTCAGTCTAACAAGAAGTCACAAACAGCGTTCTGTGAACATACCGGTGGCTCCATTGCCCAACATACTTCCTAAACAGTGTCCAAGGGTCTCCGATGATGGGTAGCATATGGAGTCGTAACAGAGGGGCTCAGAAAGCTTTCAGAAAGAAAGGAACAGAGCGAACGATGGCAAGTTCTTTACTCTTTCTTCCTACAGACCAGCAACATCACACAGGCAAGCCTACCAAAGGCTACCAACCCACAAAATCAACGCGGATGCCTAATCTTTGTCGATCAGAAGAAACCTATCAGGCATATGTATCAGTTCAGCCATACAGTCTAAGGCAGCAACTTCATCATGTGCAGGCCTAAGACGGCAATGATGACAGGCGCCCAGGCAAGAGCAGCGAGCGCCCCGAGGTGCCACCGTCCCCCCATGCAGGGGCTCAGATCCAGCAGTGAGGGACCACCTGGATGTTTCTCAGGATTAAGTAATGATTTCTATGGAAAGATCTAACACGGCTTCACAAGAGAAATTGTCCCTGAAAAAGATAATAAAAATGACCAGTGACATCCAAAAGCCCCGGAGAACCCTGAATCCATCCCTCCGGCACTTGTATCGGGAAGTGACACTGAGCAGTGATTTCCAAACGGTAGTCAACGGCACGTCAGCAAACTGCCGAGTACTCGGCAGTGGTCTGGAGAGCGCTCGTCCGACATGTGGAGATGGCTCCATCTCCCCGTTTCCAATTTCTAAACTGCATTAAGTAAGTTTAACATACATTTGATATTTTTGTAATACAAATTTACCATCAGAACTGCCGAAGCCGCCGCAGAGATGCTACCCGACCACTGATGCGAGGGAGACTATGACTGCTATGTGAATAAAACCATGAAAAACATTTCTTTAAGTATTTGGAAAATACCGTCAGAAAGGAAGCATGAAAACACCTGATCTGCTTCCACAAAAGCAAAACAAAAATGACATATTTTTTTTTTCCAAAATGCACACTGTATGTCATGTTAAAAAGAGACCTAAGTATGATTAAATGACTAAAAAACTGGGCAAGCCTCCTTGACGGTATGCAGCTTTGCACACTTGCTTATTTTTGGTTGCAGTACAGTGCCTGTATAAACATTAATACTACAAGTGCTTTGAGTGTCTAGGAGAGAGACAGGACAATTTTATACAACTAAATACTGACTTTTATTTTTCTTTGTTGAATATTTATTTGTTCATGTAATACCAAGAAAAGCAAACAGGGACATACATAAGCTGTTTTCTACTACATCACCCAATGAACTTCTCCAATACAATTATCTTCGGTTTTGACACGGTGACAAGTCTCCTCCTCTTCAGTTTTCTTTACTTTAAAATCCATCTCTGGATGCTATTGTGAGCTAAGCAAAAAGGGTGCAACGCCCCTGCAACAGAGCTACTGTTCGATTTTGTCCCTTTATACCACAAAAGGAAATACCTTTGTGCGTGCACGAGATGTTGCCCCTGAGCTGCCCGCGAAATGATCGTTTTCTTCATCAGTTACAACTAATCTCTTTTCATCAGTTTTAATCAAAATTCACCACTGCATGTAGGCAGCTTAACTCCTTTTGCTGTTTATCTTTTCACTCTATTACCACTTTGCATGAAAATCTTAATTTTTTCATGTTCTTAAGTTTTCCGAGTTTCAAGCACACAACACTCGCAGCTTCCCTCCAGCCTCTAGATCAGCCTCACCTTGTCATCTGTACCTAAGTCTTAATCAGCACAGTCCAGTGCGCACCCTTTAAGCCTCGAGTCCAGAACCACACGTGTAGAGCACGCTACTGTCAACACTGACACTAGAACTATTTATTTCAGTATTTTGCTTCGTGTTACTATACAGCTTTTTAAATAAATGGCAGAACGTCACCCCTAATGCCACGGCGAAGTTTCTGTAACAGTTTTCTGTGCGCACGGGTGGTTTTGGGGACGATCTGCAGCTGACCCCGGGCCTACTCGGGCATCTGTGAGCTGCAACGGCAGCAGGCAGTGCCTCTTGCCTTCGCCTCCTCCATCAACTATTTTGAGGCAATGATGGGAGCTGGTTAAGATGAAAGAGTTCCAGTTTAACCTTACCGAATGCCCGTCACAAAAAGCGCTCACCCAGGTGGTTCACCAGGTTTTAATTTCACTTTTTACACTTCTACCACTCATGGAGAACTGCTGCAAAGCCAGGAGCGCTCCATCCTCCTCCTCCGGAACACCCGCCGCAAGGAAAACCTGCCGGCACCGCGGCTGCTGCCCTCCTCTGCCCCCTTCCCCTCCGCCACCGGGACCCTCCGGTACCGCCCGGCCCACAGCCCCGGCCAGCCGAGCGGCTCGCAGGTGCGGTACGCGCCTGGTCGCTTATTCTGGGACCCTCCTGGGGCCGACGGCCCCCCGGAGACCCCCGCTCCTCCACCCTCTCCCCGTTCTCGGCTCCAGGGCAGCCCCCGCCGAGCCG